TTCCAATCCCTAGCGGTCTGGGATTCTGTGACTGCATTCTCCACATGCAAAGAATGCTCCAGGCTGGCACCTGCTGAGATCCCAGAGACCCACAGGTACTTTACCCACACCAACCAAGCCAGTGCTGTCCTACATCCTGTTAAAGAATGGAAGAGCTGCTGCACTCCCGGCTGAGCGACTCAAACCACACAGAGTCTGCTGGAGTCAAAATGCCTGTGCCACTCTCATTGTAGAGTGTGCCTGATCCCAAAGTCAGCCATGGAGGAAGTATTGAGTGCAGCACTGGGATGGCGCCGTAAGAGAGATTATTGCCTGGAGACACGGCAAAGCAAAGGGATTACATCTGCCACAAACCCAGGGTTCAGATCCATCTCCTCACTAGCCAGCAGCAGCACGCAGCCTGCAGAGACAACGGCCGACAGAGGGGACTCTTGGTGTTTTCACATTCATCGAGACCTCCGTGCCTTTTTTTGATGTTCAGATTACAAGGAAGTGGAGCTGCCAGCACAGAAGGAAAGAACTTGTAGACACAAAGTTCTGGTGCCCAAAGAAAGGAGGAAATGAACAAGAGGGGAGGATGTTAAACCACCTGACCAATTATGTTGTTTGGGGAAAAGGCACGAAGAGGAAAAAAAGAGATTTTTAACTCTTTACAGATGAAAGCACAACGTACATAAGAACCACATCTGGTACAGTTTCTATCTATGAAAGACTGGATATCAGAAGTTGGAAGAGAAAGCTACTCAGTTTATATCCTATTTTCAACTGGATGACTGGCTCAAACATTGGGATTTTGCACTGGTGTTTACTGATAGGAGTGGAGTTTTATCTCCTGCCCCACATTGACTCAGGTGATTGCAGTGTATGTGGGACACTTCTGCAAGAGCGAGCTGTGCAGGCTGCCTTGAAAACAACATTTTTCTCATCCGTAACCTAAAAATCCCAGAGTGGCAACTTCCTCGAATGTTTGGTTCCAATGAGATTCATCTTTTGCATGATTTACCACAGGTAACTGTCCAGAAATTCACTCTTAAAAGTAATTTTCATATCTTAGAAATTTTATGTCAGCCCTTTTTTTATTTGATTCTCTGCCCCATAAGGAGTATTTCCATATCCAAGAATGCAAGAATCGATAGCCAATACCACATCTAACCGTGCTTGCCCAGATCAATTGTACATTTCCTACACAAAGACTTCATTGTGTTTCTTCCACGTGACCCCTCATAAAGGACATTCCTTTGATAAGATAATAAAGCTGCCATCCTTTCAGGTTTAATCTCATCTCTGGATGCATTTACACTGCAATTTCTACAGTAAGCTGTTAGCTATGAAGGATACAAAGGATTATTCACACCTCAAACGCATCCGATCTATCACCTCTCTTTTTAAATAATAAATAAACCTATATATATAAACATTCACCGTAATTGTGTTGATGACAGTAGCAGCAATAAGGAACATCATCAGCTCCTTTATTTCATTGCTACATCCATTTTTTGCCGTTGTGCTCCACGGATAAATGGTTATCTCCTGCTGTGCTACTACACTGTCTCACAAAGCGGAGACATAATTCTGGCTGTAACACAAGCACGTAATAGTAACTGGGGAAAAAAATGTTCATTAGCAATGGCTTAACTCACCCAGCATAGTAGGATATATATCCACGAGAGACACCACATTTGGTACTTGCTGCTGCTCTTTTACACCTGGCCCCATAACTAGAAGAGGAACATGGGAACTGCCTTCATACATGCTCATTTTGTAGAACTGCCGGTGCTCCATCGCAAGTTCTCCGTGATCCGCAGTGAACATCACTATGGTATTTTTCAGAAGCCCGGTATCTCTCAGCGCGGAAATGATCTCACCTGCAACAGGAAGAAGATACAGAAAACAACTCCTTCACAGTGTTCCTCCCACGTTCTGTACCTGCAGAGCAGCACGCGAACCCCGAGGAATGCTAGCTGGAGGGCTGGAAAATCCTGATTACTTGGCTTTTTTTCCTTCTTCTCAACTTCTATAGCCATGGAGTCATAGAAGAGTTTGGGTTGGAAGAGACGTTAAAGATGATCCAGCTGCCAGCCCCGCTAAGGGAGACTTCCAAGGTAACCCTGCAGTTCGGTGTGTGTCACAGCTGTCACCCAGTCTACACACTCGATCTGTCTGAGGGTGGGAAGGCTCTGCAGAGGGACCTGGACGGGCTGAATCCATGGGCTGAGGCCAATTGTGTGAGCTTCAACAAGGCCAAGGGCCGGGTCCTGCACTTGGGTTGCAATAACCCCATGGATGCTACAGGGGACGAGTGGCTGGAAAGGACCTGGGGTGTTGGAAATCTGCAAGGAAACTGCCTGTGCCCTGAAATTTATCTTTCCTTCCAGATTTGCTTTGCTGGTCTGCATCCTTTGCAGTTGTTTCCATCATTTCAGTCAGCCCTTAATCAAAGAGTATTTCCTTCCTCTTGTACATGGGTCAAGCAACGTTTTGCTGCAGTTGCTGGGCTTTTTCAGGGTCTCGGACTGGTGGCTGCCATTACTTTTCAGAGTGCTCTGAATCCACCTTGCAATAGCCTTAAAATCTATCCAGTTAGTTACCACAGAGACTGGTAAAGCGACATCCATGCGACTTACTCCCAGATCTGAGCTGTGGTTTGATTTTTTCCCTGAAGAAAAGCCCTGTCAATGTTTTCTTAACAAAAGTCAAAGCAAGGAAAGCCACTGTCTAGTGAAACATTACTTACCCAGCATGGCATCTGTCTCCGCACACATAGCATAATAAAATGCTCTAATATCTCTCACTTCTTGCTTTGTAAACTCTCCTGTGCAATTCTTGGTGTAAGATGAGTAATAGTCTACTGGATGCATCTCTGAAAGAGAAGACCACTTGGGTATTTTAATAGCTTCATACGTTACCTAAAGGTAAGAGGAAATTAATGTTACTTTAGCAACTGGATTAAAGGAATCTTTTAAAAACAGACTTAATTTAAAACTTTTTCATCATAAATTCACAGTTCTCAATTTGTGGTCCAGGAAACACCAGCTGCTTCTCTGATACATGATGCTGCCACCTCCTCCATACTTCCCCTCTGCTTCCAGAGGTATCAAGTAATTTTCAAAGCGAGCTGTAAAAACCAGCCAGAAACTGTGGCTAGGAGCCAGAAATATGTGTTTTACCAGCTGACCTCCTTTTTTTAAGAGAGATGCTGCAGAACAATCTTCTAGAACCGTACTCTACTTAAAGAAGTATCAGCATAGTGTCTCACCAACTGTAGGATAACTATAGACTACCTCTACCAGAAACACCGGGCGTGATGTGAGCCCACAGAACACCACAGAAAGTCACTCAGTCTGGAAAGGTCTCCAGGACAAGTCTTGGCATCTTGATAAAAAGAATCCAAGATATTAGTTCAAATTTGTAACACTTTTCTATTTGTTTCCATGGATGTCAATCCAATGAGTTACAAGGAAGCGTGAGATCAGTTTGAAACTAAAAAGCAGGAGCCAGTCAGTTACAAATAGTGCTGGATTTGTACATTCAAACTGGCGTGCTCACAGCTGTTGGGTGCTGCAGTACCAGCTTCAGAGCCTCAAAGTTTGACACATGCTCTTAGCCTAGACAGGCACAAGTGGAATCGCTCCCTTAAGCAAGTGCTGCATGTAACAGAGTTAATTACTTCTACATTGTAGACTTACAGTACACTTACACACTGCAGAGGCTGTGCTGCCATTCAGCGACACCTGGACAGGCTGGAGAGTTGGGCGGGGGAAAACTTAATTAAATTCAACAAGGGCAAGCGTAGGGTCTGCATCTGGGGAAGAACAACCCCATAGACCAGGATAGGTTGGGGTCTGAGCTGTTGGGGAGCAGCACAGCAGAAAGGGACCTGGGGTGTTGGTGGCAGCAGTGCCCATGAGCCAGCAATGTGCCCTTGAGCCAAGAAGGCCAATGCCATCCTGGGCTGGATGAGAAGGGGTGGTTGTAGGGCAGAGAGGTTCTCCTGCCCCTCTGCTCTGCCCTGCTCACACCACAGCTGCAATCTTGTGTCCAGTGCTGGGCCCTCAGCTCCAGAAGGACAGGAACTGCTTGAAAGAGTCCAGCAGCGCCACAAAGATGAGGTCCAAATATGGCAGCCATGGTGAGACAGTGGCCTTGCCATGTTTCCTTACCATACAAGCGCTATCACTTGGAGAAGTGAACGCTGTGGAGCATCTCCTGCTGAGGAGCAGCTGAGGGAGCTGGGGCTCTTTAGCTTGGAGCAGAGGAGCCTGAATGGTGCCCTCCTTCATGGGGATCAATTTGGAAAGGGTGAGTGTCAGGAGGAAGGAGACAGAGCAAGGCCAAGATTACGGCCCAGCAGCTCCGGTGCCTGAGCAGCCCGGTCCCAGGACTGCAGCCACAAGTCCACACCGGCTCCTGATAAAATAACTGAGACGCTGTCCAAAGGGCTCCATGCAGCACCACAGCAACCAGCCCAAAGCTGTCCCTAGAGCCACTGCACCCCTGTGTGTTGGCGCCGCAATTCTGAACAGCAA